CAACATAAATTTGTGAATTTCTCCGTAAATTTCGCTCCAAATTTTACAAAATTTCATATTTAGGCGTAATTTGAGTTGTAGAATTTAGGCGTAACTTGAGTTGTTGGTCTGTAGAATCGAAATGTGTAAAAAAATTGGTATGCTATTTCAGAAAAAATCCGATTTTGTGTCAAAATACCTATGTTAGAATAGTGCTATATATAAATCTAATATATATCCTAAGTCGCGCTTTCGAGACATGAAGAACGCAATTTGAATTTTGTCAATCGGCCCAGTAGATCGAGAGATATAGAACTGTCTTTTTTTTTTTTTTTTTTTTTTTTTTTTTTAGCATTGTTCATTAACAGAAATCTTTGGCATTTCGGGTACATTTCTTGCAGCAGCTGACAGTCTGGCCACTAGATGAACTCAATGGAAATTTCGTAGATAGTACTCTTAATGTGCCTGAGAAAAAAGTCTGTGCCTATCAGATGGCCGACGATCAAGTCTATGCATCAGATCCATTGAGACTGTAAGTAGCGCCTCAGTAATTTTTGACATTACTACTGAACTGAGCAGATGTTTTGTCATGCCGGAAGGGCATTTCTGTAAGAACAATAAAACAGAATAAAGGAATACGGGAAGAAGGAGCATCAGCAAAATATCTCATAAAAAGACGCATAGCCTTTCATGCGTGTTGGTAGAATGTAAGGTCCTACTAAGTAGTTCTGTACCGTACGATTTTAGACACTAATAGAGAATATTTCATGCTAAGCATGTGATCTAGTGCTATCTGGATTATCATGGGCCTGAAGAGGAGAATTGTGGGTACTAAATATACCCAAAAAAGCAAACATATCCTTAATAGTGAATAAGACACACGAAGGGAAGTCAGGATTTGTTGCAGCCTGCTGTAGATACCAGCGAGCAATGTTAAATTTATGACCGGCACGGATTCTCTAAGAAAGCTCACATTTCCAAAAGTTGCCATGAGAAAAAAATATTTTTCTTGATTTCAATAACAAGAGCCCCTGGTATTTTGTGCCTGGATTTATGCGCTTTTAATACATTACCTTAATTTCTTGTACACTGCTCAAAAAAAAAAAAAAAAAAAAAAAAAAAAATGGGACAGTGTTATATCTCCCGTTCTATTGGGCCGATTGACAAAATTCAAACTGCGTTTTTCATGTCTCGAAAGCGCGACTTAGGATATATATTAGATTTATATATAGCACTATTCTAACATAGGTATTTTGACACAAAATCCGACTTTTTCTGAAATAACATACCAATTGTTTTACATATTTCGATTCTACGACTCAAATTATGCCAGAATACCAAGTTTTGTAAAAAATCGTACGAGTAGTTTTTTAAAATATTAGCTCTCAAAATTTTAGCTCCTCAATGTTAATTGAATTTGGCAAATATTTATTAATATCTCTTTTTTTATTAAACTTTTTTGATTTTTTCTCTCTCCCATTTCGAAATTTTGGTTCATTCCAAATAAAATTTACCCATTTTTTTTTGCGTTTTATTTTTTAAATTTCTATTTTTAAATAATTTCTATAGATTTTCCGAAAAAAATTTTGAATTATAACCTATAAAATTTTTACCATCATCTTAAAGTAGATGTATTTTTAAGCATATCTGCAAAACAATTAGACTTTTTTTATTCAAAATTTTCTAAAATATACACGAATTTACATAATTTTCGCGTTTTGAAATTTGGCACCTTTTTTTTGAGCGATAATAACGCCAAATGTGGTCTATGGATTTTTGTTACACTGAATTGCCACAGCTATTTTTAACCTTAAACTTCAAGTAAAATTTTACGAAGAATTAATTATATGACATTTTTTCCCTCAATGATGGCGTAATAAATATTTATTAATACTATATGAAAGGCTATTTTTTTAAATTATAGATGATGATATTAGTGAAATTTTTAACTATTTTTTTCTTAATTTCTCTCGTATCTTTTTTTTTTTTTTAAAAAATTTAAGAGTAAGTTTTTGTAAGAGTAAATTTTTTATCTTCGGGCGTTTATCGTCTGCTACTTTACTTCGTTTAAATCGAATTGTCTAAAACTGAGAATTTTCGTTTGATATTTATTTGAATTTTATGACATTAACTGCATAATTTATTTCTAAACAAACTGTTGCTTTTGAAGTGGCTGAAAGAGCGGCTGATACTATCATCCATATTTTTAAAGCACAATATTTTTATAGAAACATAGTATTTAGAATAATCATTTTTTATAAAAGTCAAATTATGATATAAACATACAACCCTCTAGAGACTGAATTAATGGAAGTTTAATGGTTATGTAGAAATGATCTGCAGCTACTTAATGGCTGGATAAGTCAGCAGATTCTGTGGACAAGTAAGAATAGTTATATAAACGACACCCAACATTCTGGATTCAATAAACAACGAGGATACGATGTTTACTAAATGAATTTAAGAAGTTTTTAAAACATAAAAAAATCAACTCATTTTTTTTCCTAAAATGTATTTTTGTGCGTAGCGTATTTTCATTATATCATTAAAATTCTAATTTAGAATGTAATTGTCAAGAACTGAATCCTAATCATCAGTAATATAATAAGTAATTATTACGGTTATTAATAAATCCTTCTTATAAAGTAATTGCAAATATTTCAAAAAACTTTCTGTCTGAATGCAAACATTTTTCTATGCAAATATTTTTAATTTTATATTAATCAAGATTGCACACCATATTACTTATTTCCACTTCAATTCTTACCGTCAGTTCTAGTAGAATTTACAAATCAATTATATTTAATTAAGGATTGGATTAGATTATTTAATTATGGCAAAGCACACGAGGGCTATCTGCCTAAAGGGAGGGATGCCTCAAGGGAGGCCTTTCTAAGGGAAACTGGCTCGTATACACGTTACACATGGGGAAAACCACGAAACCGCCCATGCGGGCCAGCCCGTTTCGCGGATTCGAAACTCGGACTGAACTACCAGTGTTCAGCGTCTTTACCGCTCGTCGGCCGTTGGTGGCTATTTAATTAAGGAATGACCATCTAAGTTAAGAAACAGCGTACCGTAACAACATTTCAATTATTGGCGCCGTATCTTTCATGTTACTCCCGATTGGCTAGCTACATGATTTTTAATGAGTATTCGGATTTTACTATTAACTTCACTTGGAAATCGCGCTTAAACTAGTTAGTTAGTTGGTTATTGGAACATAGAAAGAACATGGGAGCTATTTGATTAAGATGCTTTCATAGAGAATCTTTGTAAAGAGAACCTAAAAACTACGAAAACCAACCATGCAGTCCTGGGTTTAGACTGAGCAGCAAACAATTAGTATTTAACAATCAATCTTTTTTTTTTTTTTTTTTTCGAACGCTAGGCAACCTGATGAGGCTCCAATTTAATATTTTATTTGTAAATATTTAAATATTGTTGTATTCTTAGACACAAAAGCAGAATTTAAGTTTTGTTAACTCGTTAGTAAACTACCAAGCCGTAGTGCAAATGAATATTCAATTTCTTTGGCAATAATTGTATTCACTTAATATTCTTGGAATATGAGCTAAAGAAGGAACGTTCTCGGAAGATTAAAGAAGTGTTTAAATCCAGTGATATTAGGTTTGACTTACAAGCTCAGGATCAAAACGATTCTGCAATTGCCCGAGTAGTTGACTTGTAAATGGATGTGAATTAAGCAGATGACTTTTAATCTTACATTATTCAGCCAGAAAACGTATTCCAAATGTTTTGTATTGCATGAAAATGCATCTTTTCATTATTCAATAACCAGTCGGAGAACCGCTTGTGTTCCGAAAATAAGTATGTGTACTCAATCGTCCTGCATGTTCTTCAAATTTGTCTTCTTGTGATTTTTTTCTTGTGATTTCACACCGTTTACTGTTGAATGACAGCTAGTCTTATAACAGAACCATTTTTTTTCTGAAGAGCAGTCGACAGCTGGACCACTGCGATTGCAGCTCACTTAGAGTCAATATTAAAATGTTTCGTGATACATCAACTGCAGTAACGTGGAATTTTAGATACTACGATTTTTATGCAGGGCTGGGGCACCACCTCAAGATGTCGCATAGTTACTTAGGCAACATTTCACGAATGAACGTCTTATAGGCCAAAACTTCCCCTCTTCCCACCAGACCTCAACCACTGTGACTTTTGTCTATGAGGTTATCTCAAAAGCACTGTTTATGGTGATAATCTAAACAATTTGGCAGAAATGAAAAATGTGATACACTGATAACATTCCTCCTGATATGCTATGTGTAACGTGTATACGAGCCAGTTTCCCTTAAAAAGTCCTCCACGAAGGCATCCCTCCCTTAAGGCAGATAGCCCTCGAGTGCTTTGCCGTAATCTAATAAGCCAAACCAAAATCAAACCTGATATGCTAAGAGCTGCTGTTGAGAATGCAGTAACATGATTTAACTTGCTTTCGGAAAATGCTGGACGCTACATTGAACATGCTTTGTAACACGTTTCGGAAAATATTAAACACAATTTAAACACATGTTTTCGTGTCTTATTTCATTTAACAGTATTGTATACAGCGCCATTTTTCCCCTGATGGTGAGTTTTTGAACTCTTTTTTTTCCGCCGAAAATAAATTCCCATAACCTCCTATACACGATTCCCAAGTTTGATAACATTTGGTCCGGTAGTTTTCCTTTTGTGACCATTTCAAATTGGAACTTTAATTATAACTACCATGTAAATTAAACTTTAAAAATTTGACAATTTGGTTCAAGTCCCAGCTTTAAAAAAAATATATATATAAATATAATCTTTTACGTTAATCCTCTTAGAAAAAATGTTTTAAGAAGCTAATTTTTCTCTCACGTTATAGATTGTATAAAAAAACATGATCTTAAATATGATTTAGATTGTTTCAGCCGATATAAGAATCGGGTTACTCGGTGGTACAGAATAAACCCTGCTGGACTGTTTTATTTCTTTGTCATTTAGTAAAAATCTTTTAATTAAAATATTTATCCTTTGGACTTCGCTTTAAACTTTATTTATAGCTAAAATGACTAGAAAATGAAAAGCTGTCTTTAGCTGAAACGCAATTCATATAATTGATATTTTAAAAAATTGACAAGAATGCAAAATTTATGGAAGTCTAGCAGTCGAAAAATCTTAATTTTCTTGTGTGAGCACTGAAAAATAACTGTAGAAGGAAGAAGAAAATTAGGGAGAAAAGTAAGCAAAAATTTGCAGGGAAATTTGGCTGTCAGACATACCAAGATGTTCAAAAAGTTGGACGCTTTCGAATATACTTTCAGGATACTTCAAAGAATTTAGGTGTTCAAAGAGAAAACACTTGAACGTGTACACCGGCAAATACCATCAATTGAGCTTGTGTTAACAGAAAAGACAAAACGATATCATTGCAGATTAAAGTAAAGAGCGACTGGTTTTAAACTATATGGTTGTGTAAATTACGTTATAGAACATATATCGTATCATAAATGGTGAATCCCGTGATTTTCTCAGTCGAATTATTTGAAGATTCAGGAGTTTATCCAGTGATGTATGTGGATGTCACCTAAAGATGTTTTTCTTTCCTTCCTGATGAAACAGCGGCCGAGCGGTAAAGTCGCTGAACACTGGTAGTTCGGTCCGAGGTTCGAATCCCGCGAACGGGCTGGCTGCATGGGTGTTTTCGTGGTTTTCCCCATGTGTAACGTGTATGCGAGTCAGTTTCCCTTAGAAAGTCCTCCACGAAGGCATCCCTCCCCTTAGGCAGATAGCCGTAGTGTGCTTTGTCATAATAAAATAAACCAAAACCTTTTGATGAAACCAGTCTTTCCTTTCATCTCATACCTTCAAAATGTTTAGCCTCTAAAGACTGATAAAGGCTCTGACAAAATACTTCGTGAATAACTTTCTAAGGGAAACCAGCTGTCATACGCGGTACACATGAAAAAATCCACGAAAACGCCCATGCAACCAGCCCGTTTACCGGGGTTCGAACCCCGGAGTGAACTACCAGTGTTCAGCAACTTTACCGCTCGGCCGTTTGTGGGAGTTGCGGCTTTATGAAATGGAAGGCGATAACTTTATTTAAAAGGATTGTCAGAAATACCAAAATGTTTCGAAAAGTTGGATACTTTTCAATATACTTTCAGAATGCTTAAAGAAAAAGAGAAGAAAAATAAATTTTTGCGTAAAATTTAGTATTCGGATTTTTTTAAATTAAAAAATTTTCAATCCTATGATATTTGATTCTTGCGATTTCAAAAATAAAATATTTGACTAAAATATGAATAACATTTTAAGAAACCAAATGTAGGATAAAATTGTGTAAAGCAATGGGCACAATGATAAAATTGTTTAAAGCAGTGTATGCAAGTCATCCTAAGTTAAAATATCTGTTATACATCTCTCTTATATATATATTTTTTTTCTGAACGGAACATTGAAAGGCGTGTAAAACTGTGCTTTTCTGTATTTTCTCTTTTAATATAGTATGCAGTTTTCAAACGCATCGTAGTCTGGGTTACAAAGTATTCTTCCGAAAGAAACGCAGTTCAAATAAATAAAATCGAATTCTGGAAAATTGATATTAATAAATATATTTAAAATGCTCAGTTCGAAGGAATAAATAGAAAATTTTAAAACAATTATCGGAAGAGGCAATGCAACACAAAGCAATTAAAATAAAAGTATAAAAATTTAAAAATGACCTTAAATAATAACTATGACGAAAAATATATAAAGAAAACTATTTGAAAAAATAAATAAATAAATAAACGCTGCACCTTTATTTACGCAATTCGAATAGGTAAATAGAAATTTTTTAAAACAGTTATTCGAAAAAAAAAAAAAAAAAGTTCAACTTAAACAATTAAAATGAAATTCGAAAAAGAAAAAAATACTTAAAATAATAAGTTATAATTAAAAATATAATATAAAGAATATTATTTGGAAAAAAGGAACGATGGTGACTTTTTTTCCTCTCACGGGAAAGGAAAACTAGGTTGCCATATATTAAGAAGTTCGCCAAGTAAAGTATTCTTGGCGCAAACTGACAAAAAAGTGCCAACATAAATTTGTGAATTTCTCCGTAAATTTCGCTCCAAATTTTACAAAATTTCATATTTAGGCGTAATTTGAGTTGTAGAATCGAAATATGTAAAACAATTGGTATGTTATTTCAGAAAAAGTCCGATTTTGTGTCAAAATACCTATGTTAGAATAGTGCTATATATAAATCTAATATATATCCTAAGTCGCGCTTTCGAGACATGAAGAACGCAATTTGAATTTTGTCAATCGGCCCAGTAGATCGGGAGATATAGGACTGTCCCATTTTTTTTTTTTTTTTTTTTTTTTTTTTTTTGAGCAGTGTACATTTTTCAAAATCCACGTATACGTGTATTATTAAAGATATCAGAAAAATGCACACAAATGGATTTTACCAGTCCTGAAGAGAAAATTAAAGCTATTATACCTGGATTTAAATACAGACTGAACCGACTATGGCAACATGTATATTTAGACGACTGATGGCTTCATCGTATAAAATATAGTAGAAGGGAAAATAGATTCTTCTCTGGACTATGGCACTTGAGGTCCTTTTAGTCCTAGCAGACCATGTAATGCTATACTAATCTTAGATGACCGATGAGTTCTCTCTCTCATATAAAGTATAAAAATGAAAAATAATTTAATTCTGTTCTGTGTGTTGTTTGAAGTCTTCCCTTTAATCTCATCAGCACCTGCTTCTGGACAATTCCCAAATGTATTCTGATTCAGTGAACTTTCTGGAAAGCTCCAAGCAACCTAAATGAACACGCACCTTGATTTTGTCCAAATATTATACTCATTCAGCAGGACATATATTCTATATTCTACGATTGCTTAGAAACAGGATTTCTTGGGATCAAGTAATTTGCTAATATCGGTAACGAAGAAAAGTTGCAACTCTCTGCAACCAGTAGTAGACAGTGTCATGAACCACATTTTATGTGACTAGCTTCTAAACATCCCTTTTAGACAAAAAGTAAATACAGTGTGATTTAAACGTCATAAAGCTTTACAAAATTATAGTTAGGTGAATTTACAGCGTATGGCAATTTGCTTAGAAATGCATGAAGAAATGTTTTTTTTTAATACGAAAATGTGCTACGTATATTTTAATTGCATTTATTTTTGTCAATTAGATGGTATACTTCATTGTGCTTTTGAAAATATGGCTCTTTTCTAAAGTGACATTATTAATTGTCATCAATATGCTGATCTCTTGTGAAATATGATTATTCGCAATTTCGAGGAAAGAGGTTTTTTTTTTTTTTTTTTTTTTTTTTTTTTTTTTACATTTACATTTACATGCAGGTTTGAGCATCGCTGTATACTGTTCTTTGAGAACAAACTATCACATTTATGATAAAATATATTTCCATATGAAATTCTAAAATTACCTGAATTCATGACTGCATAATGATCTTTCGGTGTTGGTGGCAATTTGAAAGGATGCTATTTGTACGGTATTCAGTAATGGTTCCTATAAACGGTTACTTCTACTATCCGTACATGTTCTTTTTACCTGATTTTATGCATTTTTTTCTTTAGTCATGTATTAATTGCATCACTCAGATACAAATTTAAAACATTTCTCGACTATGAGATAATCTTCCATAGATGATTCCAAATATGCGAAAAATTAGATGATTCCAAATATGCGAAAAAGGAAAAGTCAGATTATTCAGTTCAAAAGCCTAGGAAAATCTCAGAATATTTTGCTTTTTCTTCCAAAGAGGCTAGTTTCACAAGACCATTCTGACACGAACTGAATTTGTTACATTATGTCCTGTAATAATAAACTAATGATTCTTGATTTTATAGAAACTGCATTCGATGTGCTGGGATTAAAACTGTAAACAATCGCCCAAAGGCGTTTAGGCTTATGGCTGCTATTCTTAATAGCCCCAACACTCAGTATTTTATTCATCTCGACACGATCGAAACAAACGAAGTAAATTCCAACATTCTTATTAACCATTATTCTTTAAACATACAACTACAAAAGGTACCTACTTAGTATCTTTAATGGATTATGTCCAACTTTCTATTAATTTCTTAATAACAAACTTATTGAATAATCTTTTCTAATATTTAGTTGATAACAGAATTTTCGTAATGTAAAAAAGTTAATAAATGAATCTCAGAACACATATATTATACAAAATTAATAGTTACAGCTTCTGTTTAATAATGAAATTTATAAAGCATTAATTAAAGAAACCGTTACAAGTCTATGGATTAATTTGTACATATTGTTGATTATGCTGTGTTACAAAATTATTACATCCTGTGAGTAATTTAGGTTAATTATTTGAAATTAAAAATATAGTTAAAGTTTATGTAAATAAAAAAGTAATACAATTGAAGTTTTAAATATTAAAGGCTAACATAACAGAAAGACGTGATAAAGATAAAATATTCTGTATTTTTTTTACAGATAATCATCTTGCATGTGATTGCAGAATTTCCTGGATAATAAATACGAAATTTCCAAGAGCTACAGTGGGATTTTGTTCTGAACCACCTCACCTGGAAGGGAAGAATTTGACGAAGCTTTCGGCAAAAGACCTGTGGTGTTTCATGTAAAATGTTTATTATGAATTGGTACTTTTATACGTATCTTGAATATTGACAGAAGAAAGATAAAAGGTTTATGCAAGCATCTTGTAAATACATTAGAAAATGAAGTTTTAAATTATATAAAATGTATTTTTGTATCAAATATTTTATCAAATGTAAGAAATGTATTTTATCAATGTAATTATTTATGAAATGTACTTTTAAATTAAATAAATAATTTTTATCCTACGTATCTGAGAATGTGATTTTTTTGTTTGCTTTTTATTCTACTCTAAATTTTTCGATTTATTACATTATTATATTAATTTTATAAATTACAATGTTGTGGGTAAAAAAAGTTATTTTACATTGATTCAAATAGTATCCGGGTAAAACTTTCTACCAAGTAAAATTCGAAATAATTGATATAGGAATTAAATCAGCCTTATTTGACTATATTATAAAAGCATTATTATCACGTTATTTTTTTAAATACTTATATAGGGTGAAAAAAAATGAAAATACTATAATTTCCTCCTTTATTTCAATGATATCTGTAAAACAATTTTATATCTTTTTATTTCTCCAACAAATGTGAATTCGTCTTAATGTTTGCTTTGCAAAGTACCCGAAGCCTATCTGTCTAAAGGGATGGATACCCTTGTGTGAAACGTTCTAAGGGAACCTGGTTAGCATTCACCCGATATGTAAGGAAAACACAGATGCGGCCATCCCAAACACCAGGATTCGGACCCATTCGCCAGGATTCAAACTACCAATTTTCAGCGATTCCAAAAACTCAGTAGTGTCGTGCAAAGCTGTCATATTTAGATTACTTTTAATACTAAAATTTTACTTTTAGAAGTAAAAGGTATACTATTAATTTCGCTGTGATCAGCAGAATATATGTTGGAAATATTCTTAGTAATTTGCTGTTTCAAAATTTCGGAAAAAACATTTTGTTTTATCAGATAAGTCTATATTTTTTCTTTATTTTCAGAATATATATGCTTCCTTCGACCGAAGATGAAAAACAGTCACAAGATATTTATTTTACCAAAAAATGATAAGGAAATACATCTTTTGAAAACAGCTGCTATCTGGTGATATACTATCTGTTTTCATTCTTATCGTATTTATGTTTCAATATCTTTATTTATATGATGATAAATTCTTTCGATGCATCATTCATTGCGAATATTTGTAGCTCTTCGTATGCTATTATTTATAGTTCCTTTATTTTGATTGATGAAAATTTAAAATATGTTTTCCTCAGTATGCTTAATCATTGCGTTTTTGTCTCTAGCTCAAAGCTGCCCATCATCAGAAAATCTATATCCTTGCACTTGTAAAATGGAACATAATACAGCTGATATCATATGTTCTAGACTTGACAATGAACAAGATTTAGTTAATGCTGCCAGCGCATTAAAAATGAGAAATTATATTGAACGGTTCAAGATCGAAAACTCTAACTTCAACTTTATTCCTCATAATGCTTTCATCAATGTGAAATTCCAAGATCTAGAGCTAGAGAATTCAAACATGTTTTCTTTAACAGATACCGATGTAGCTTTCGAAGGAATGGAAGATACTTTACAAGCATTAGTAATAAGTAATTCCTCTCTTTTGAATACTTGGGATTGGTCTGTCCTGAGAAAGCTTCGGGCCCTTAGGAAAATTGAAATCAGTGGAGGGGATCTTGAAAGTGTTAATAAGGATATAGAGGAAATAAATAACGGCATGCTAATAATAGTCTTAAGCAATAATAAAATTTCTCGCATATACGATACTGCCTTTTCAAAATTCAAAAACTTACTAATTCTGGAGCTAAATAATAATTTCTTAACGGAAGTGAAAAGAGAAATAATACCTAATCCAGCTGTGTTGCTCCGCAAAATAGATTTAAGGTAAGTGCAACCCTCAGGAAGTATCAACCATTTTAGTTGTTTATGCCTTTGTATTTACGAAACTTTTCAGTTTTATATAAGCAGCCTTAGAAATATTTTAACAAATATTTATGAATGCAACTGGAAAGATATATTTTCAGTTTATGCCTGCTAGCTTTTTAAAATGTATCTCTTCCTCAATGATTGCTAAAGTCCTTAAATAACATACTGTAAAAAATTCAATTTATTCAATATTTATTATTTACGAAGGATATCGCGTGTGATAGTTATGTAAACGTTTTCAGGAAATTTTTTTAAAAATTGGTAGCATTTATTTCTTATATATTATTAAAAAATATCATTCTAATTGCTTTAAATTTCAACGAGGACAACATTTTTAACTGAACTAGCAAATATAATTTCATAAGTTTGTTGGTTCTTTCTTTCTCATACTACGCGAGAAAAATTCAGAATTTCAGAAAAATAAGCTACAAACCTGCACGAATAAATAAATATTTTTTATCATCAAGAGGATGTTAAAGAAATATCATAACCCCTAATTTTCGCAACAGTATCAAAATCCAGAAGAAATGAAGCTGAAGAAGTAAAAAATTAATTTACCAGTTTAAACAGAGAGTAACACAAAAGTGCAATCAAAAAGACTTAAATTTATTAAGGTGCATCTTAATCAGTTTAAAGTAATTAATTGTATTCATTCTCAATGCAAATTTTAAATTCAAAGCCTTTTAAAATACATTACATTACACAGTGATCACTGCAATTATACTTTGTACTGCATTTATGTAATAAAAAAAGTAACAAAACTTAATATAATAAAATAATTTTAAAAAGAAAACTGAGAATGGTTAAGTTTACATATTCACAAGATTTTTGTCACTATCTCTGAGCTAGAGATTATAATACCGGCAACCCGATTTTAAAGCAAAATTTGCTTAAATTTGAAAAAAAAAAAAAAAATCAATATAATGCGTATATGCCTTTTTTCCATGTAAAGATATTTTAAAATCTAGAACAATGTTAAAAGAAATCTGAATGTAATATACAAATAAAATTAGGCAAGAAGTAATAAAAGAGGTATTAAATACAGCATAAATTTGCTAACAATGTGTTTAGCCTATCAGAAGATAAGGAATCTACATCTGTCAAAAATCGCAACATGTAAATAATGTCTTTGGAAGTGACAGTAAATTTTAGATACTTATTTTATTAATTGATTTGTGCATAATGAAAAATGAGTGCCTCATTTAAAATTAAACTGAAGAATTCTGACATTTTTCCAAAAATTATTGTGATATTAGTTACAGATGTAACTTCGGTAAAGAAGAAAGGGTACTTCCTATCATAGCGGCTAATCAATGAATCGCTAATCAGCCGAGATATCTTGCCGAAATCTCGCCAGGGTATTCTTATACCTTGCTACATGTTACATCTGGGTTGATTAACGATTAATTTTTGGAGGCCGCTTTAATAAGGAAGTACCGAAGAAAGTAACACAGTAGTAATAGTTTTAATTACAGTAGTAATAGTAATCCTTCAGTAATTACTCACACTAATTGAAAAAAAAAACTATAATATATCTTGAACACAGAATACATGCCTATTAAGGTTTTATATAACAGAATATTATAAACAACAACAATAATCTATATAAATAAATAAGAGTGTCCGTTTTGTTTGTCTTTCATACGATTCCACAGTTTTATTTCGGTCTTGATGAAATTTGGCACATTTGACCTTCAAAACAAGAGAAAAGTCACCTACATAAGATATTTCAAAAACCATTCCAGGGGGTGCACGTTTTATACGCATAATATTTGATGCTAATTTAACGAAATTTGGAGCAAAAACTCAGGAATTTAGAAACATTGTATTGCTACTTTGAGATATCTGTGCTTCAAAAATTCATCAAACTCTTCCAAGTGGCAGTGAATTCACTTTCGGTAAAGCATAAGATATTTAATTTTTTTTCCATATTTATTCTGTTGTTAATTAACAAACTAAACGATTTAAAAGTAATAAAAGCAGATTTATTTCAGTTATTATTAATTACTAGCTGAACTCGTAAAATGACACTGGTTTAAAATCATATGTGTAATTCACGCACATCTACATTTTTATTTCGATCATGATGAAATGTTGCTCACTTGACCTTCAAAATAAGAGGACGGTCACTGTCTACGTAAGATTTCAAAATCCCATCTCTCGGGGTCCACATTCAAGTCGTTTATATTAGAACGTTGTGCTCACGATGTCCATCACGATGCCATCCGTTTCATCGTTGTTGCATTCACACTTATAACGAAAATACCAAAAAATCAGAACTACGCCGAGACTACCCGTCAACGGTTGTTGTGCACAGGTTCTTAGTATATGTGTATAAACCTTAATAATAATTAGACACAGTGAGTGTACTACTAGAATATCTGTTTACAATTTCAATATTTATAGAAAAAGAAATAAATCTTATCTACTTGGATTCTCCACATGCTTTTTGACGAATAAACAATTTTATTAATACTTGACATCAGCATTTTCACAGTTTCTTTGAAGTAAAGCAGGAACTAGTAGTTTGAAGTAAAGCAGGAACTAATCAGAATAAACGTGAAAAACAATTATTTTATGAAATTATGTACAAAACTAACTGGATGTTTTGAAGAGAACTTAAAGGACAAAAATAAGAAATTATCCCATTTTAAATCTTAATTGAAGTCAGAAGGTTGCATGCACGAGGGTAAAAAGTCATATTCTGACCCAATATCGTCATTGGATAGACACTTTATTTTCTTTAAAATGCTGTGAATTTTTAATAGCGGAACATCGAGAATATCTGGTCTGAAATATATACAGAGATATCTGCATAATACTACAGAGATATCTGTAGTACTGATATTCCAGACTGTACTGATATACAGTCTAGAATATCAGTACTACAGAGATGCATACTTTTCCTCGAATACTTAATATACTTACCCTACAACCTTCCAACAATAACAAAAAAGTGAAAACCCGAAATGATATAGAACTAGCTGGAAGAAATAAAATCTCATTGAAAAGTTATGCACATTTAAAGTCTCATTTAAAATCTAGATTCATCATGCACAGGCCTAAGCTAAGTTTTGGCAATTCAAATGATGGAAACACGGCAAGATGCTTTTACGCTCACAGTGCTCAGAATTTTAATAGTAATTTCGAGCAATCAGAGAATATAATCATTCTGTTGTTAGGTATTTGGTAGAAAATGATTCCTTGGTACTATATTTATTTGAGAAATAATACATAATATTTGAATCCATATGAGTGCTAATTATTTAATATTCTAAATTAGTAATCTTATGTATTATTACACAAATTTACTATGCCTTCATAGCATCAAATAGAAGACACACTATTCAGTGCATTTGCATTCAAGGATGCTATTATACTGTATTTCTTTCTCTGCTTCTATATACCTATGAGGACAAGCCTGCTAATGTCGAACAATGTTTTATCTCCCGTGGCATACTCACTCGGTTATAACATAAACCTATCTCACGGAGATAAATGAAGGTGAAAAAAATTTTAACTTCGTCTTTTAAGGGAAGAGAAAATTCAGAGTAGAAACTTTTCGTCTCTAACACTAGCCATCCACAATACACAAGTTTTTATACATTGGGCTAAAATAATATACTCCGTTTAGTTGTGAGTGGAATAACTAACAGAGCAAGCTCAGAAGTTGGGAAATAGAAATTAAAATATATGTATCCCAAATGAATTTCCAGAAAATATTCCCCAGAAAATTGCAATGAAAATATTTCAAAATTGCTTTTAATGAACTTTGATTCTATTACAACTAATAAAAAGAATCTATCTAAAATAAAATTCGGAAATTTGCAGAAAGAAACTGCAGATTGATTGGCACCTCTATCTTTAGAAAACAAGCACCAGAATAGTAACAGTAGGGATGAAGGTGATAAAAGTCGATTTTTTTTTCGAATAAACTTCTGTTTTATTCTAAGCAGATACTATGTGAAACGCTACCTAATAGACTTTTTTATTTAAATATTTAGTTTATATAGGTATTTAATAATCAAAATGAAGAAAATGACTTATTTTTTCCAGATAGAAGATATGTAATAACTACGTACTTCCGTATTCTATTATGTAATAACTATTATTAGAAATGTTATTGTATATATGTATGTATAAATAACTAAACATTTGAAAATCCGTCATTTTCTTTATTTATACGTAAATGTCATTCAGATAATTTTAGTTCCTTTAATTAATATTTTAATGTGTCTAGGATCGACTTTGGGGATCTCTTGCCTACCTATGCGTTGCTGCGACTACCTAAACAGCAAAAATAGAAAATGAGTTTATTGCTTTCTGATAAGTCGCAAATTCCAACTTGTATACAAAGTGAATACTTATAAAAGAACACAAACTGATCTCAAACCCAACCATAGAATGGGAATTTCTCAAAGTGTAAGCAATGGTATCCTATAAAATAGTTTCTGTCATCTTCGATTTAATAATGAATCGCATGTTAATGCAAACAGTATTTGCTATGAAAATGGAACTTGGCTATTTCTGAATGTATTTAAAGACCATAACGTAAATTGATGCTGACGTAAATTGATGTCGTAGGTGTAATGAACACCTACGACATCAATTTACGTCATAAAACACGCTACTGTCAGAGAATTAGAAAAAGTGCATAAATGTTCGAGCATTTAAGAAATTATTTTTGTAACGAATAGTGAATGTAATGATAATTGATACTAATTAAATTTCTGCTTTCAGTTACAACGAAATAAAGAATTTTCCTGAAGACATGTTTGAAAATATACCAAATTTAGAATGGCTCAATATCAGCTGGAACAAGATTTTAACATTAAATGAAAGAACATTCTCACCCGTTTGGCAAAAGCTAAAGAATTTCGAAGCTCTAGGTAAGTGAGTGCAACTGAATTTCAAATCTTTGAAGTGAATAAATACAAAATTTCATTTGGTTTGGATATATTCTATAACATTGTTTAGAATGTTGATAGGTATGTTCATTTTCTTCTATGACAATATTAAAATTATGAAGTCAAATTATTTAAAATAATTAATAACCTACTCCATACGACTGAAAATTACTCTTCCAAATGATTAGAAATTACATTACTACAGGTGCTATCCTCAGTCATACGTAACGTCTTAACTTTTTAAGTCGCGTCGCATCATTTCTGAATAAGATTGTGAGTAATATAAGCAAACTAATCTACACGCAAATAAAATAAAATAACTTCTTTTTCATAAAAGACTCTTCTATTTAAAACGGGTAAAATAATTAAAGAAGTAAAAAGACAAAAATAGCTTTAAATAGAATTTAATACAAAGAAGCGATCAAATAAGCGATAAACATTTTACTGATGAATTCAGATAATTCTAGTTTAAGATATATTTTTTTCTGCCGAAGGGAGATTCAAGTCTTTGAAGCACTTTTTTTTTTCAACCAAAGGGAAACTAGAAATTATAGGGAGATTCAAGTCTTTGCAGCACCTTTTTTTTTTCAGCGAAAGGGAAACGAGAAATTATTTAACTATTTGATGAAACTTTTAATTTCGAGTTTCAAGCAGTCATTAATGAAGCTCTGTTCCCTGTGCTGGAAGAAAGAGTTTTCTCAACTCGCTGACACTTTTCTTTTTTAACTTATTAGGTGCTTCACCATTATGCACCGTGCGGCAAGGGAGGGATGCCGCCTGAGGAACTTTTTTAAGGGAAACACTCTCGTATGCCCGTTATGAATGGCGAAAACCACGAAGACGCCCATGCCACTAGCCTTTAGCCAGGACTCGAGCTCTGGGCCATCTTCATCTGTTTTCGTGGGCACTGCCGTAAAGATTTTGATACTTGATTCAATAATGTATGTATGTCAAGATAATTTTTCACCCATGGTGTAACAAAATGAATAAGATTTTATCCATTGTGTGACAAAAAAAAAAAAAAAAAAAAAAAAGAATAAGGTTTTATCCATTGTGTAACAAAAAAAAAAGATCTTATCGATGGTGTAAGAGAAAAGGATATTGCATCTATAGTGTAACGTTGTTGCAAGGAGTCTCGCTTGTCTGGTATCACAGCAATCCCACGAACTTCCTCGTGGCAAGGAGGTAAAATTGCGCCTGTCGTTGGCCAGAGCTTTGTGTACCATACAGGTCACAGTACGACTTTGCTCTGTTCCGTCGCCAATTTTCAAGAAGAGCAGACGGGTCCAAAGTTCTCCCACCTTTCTTCCTCTATCACCAACCTCTCGAAAGGACTTCCGGCTCGCTGCATATTTAGAGTGTCCCATGCTTCACAGACACTATTCCAGAGTATTCAGCCTTTTTATGCCTACCGCCCACTTTGTAGGTAGTAAAATTTCTATACCGCACACCCCTTCATAGTAACTCAATATAGCGCAACTGCAAAGCAATTTTTAAAATTAGATTTAGTAAAAACTAAACGTATTTAAATATATGCATTTATTTATACTATAAGTTACGGAATTAAGCCTTTAAATATACAGAAAATTGTGTGTACTCAAACTGCGCTAATGAAAATCCCCCCCCCGGGTCGAGGTATAGTCCAACTGCGCCAATCAAAATTTCTTCCCCCTGCTGCCTACAGGGTTACAATTTAACTTTTCGAAGCCAATTGTAGCCAAGAGGAAAAAAATAAATAAATAGAATTGCATATGACAAGAATAAGTAAAAAATATCTAACAAGCAGGCTAATTACTTGAATAACAGTAATAAATGCGAGAGCTAACAAAAAAATAAAAGTATTGGTAAACATACTATTAGCATTACAAACATCTTTCATTTATTATAATATCATAAATTAAATAATTATAAAGCATACAAATTATTTTAAATAAATTACATGAATAATAGTCAAGATGTCTGAACTAGACTGGAAAATTTGATAGAGTTCACTAGCGTGCCAAAAATTATTCCGTATTAAAGTGCGTTAAAGTGTGCTAAAAATATTTTTTGTTAATTAAAGTAATCATGTATATGTTTGCAGAAATTAAATTTAGTTAAATTCAAAAAATGCTTAACATGAAATCTATTATAACAACATTACTATGCATTTGGAACACTGACATATAAATTGTAAATAAATTTAAATTATTATGATAAGAAGATTTTTCTAAAATTTATCTGGAAGAAAGAAATTAGATAAACAATACTGAAAATTAATATAATCAATCAGGCCTCTCAATAAATAAAAATTAACTTTTATAACCAAAAATTAAAAATTGGGATGCAAAAGTTTGATTAATATACTTGGAAATATCTGAACATATAATTAATTAGAAATGTATAATTCAATTAATAACAAGCTAATTAACAGTAACATTAAGCTTAATTTCATTCAGTCTAAAACAAGCAATCAATCAGGAGCTCCGCATAACTTGTGAAACAAGTGAATAATGTACTGATAGCCAACACGAATTAAAATACAGTGGTTAAAAATATAACTACTTGTCAGAAGGTATGCAAAGTTGCCATGGCTAGAAAAAATTGAATGATTATAGAAAACTCATAGTTAAGCGCTACAGTGGGAAAAGAAAATTCTGGAATAAACATGTTAAGAAAATTAGATGGAGAATATCCTTAATTTATTGATATCCATATAAACTCTATGCTTTTGGAAAAATGTTACATATAATTTGCACCGAGGTATCAATCACCGAAACCAGTTAATTCTTTTCTTATTTTTCTTTATTAGAGGGATTTGTAAAAGATATGCTAAGGTAAAGGTGAAAATTTTTGCAATATTTTTAAGGATAAATTTAAAAAGTATTTTTACTTCATGAACTGAAATTTTTACGCTACATTTTTACACAGTAAATAAGTACAAAAAAAATCAAGAGCTGGGGGATCACTAGGACTAGAAACTCGGGTCGAACTACCAATGTTTAGTGACTTTTCTGCTTGATCATAAGACCTTTTGAAATTAGGCTGAACAATAAATATATTAAAAAGAAATAGAAGATACAGCACACACGTAAGAACAAAGTGGGCTGTATTAGAGATTTATATGTTTGGTGAATGAGTTAAACTTACCTGTATGCCATTATGAAATATTAGGAATGTAGCATAAAAGCATGAGTGAAGAAGGCAATGGAAATCTAAAATCATTGTAATCTAAATGTATAACATTATTAGTATCTGCTATTAATTTCAATACTGCTGAAAAATTATAAATGAATTATATTATAATCACATGAACTCGTTGCATTATAAATTACAACAGTTAGAGATATTATTAGCGTGATTTAGCGACCATCTTTGTTAACAATAATTTTAAGTAATAATTAATTTACAAATAATTCGGCCTGAAACTAGGTTAGAAAATAAGCTACATGCTGAAGATTAAGCTTTGCCTAGGTGTTAGAAACATACCTTCTGTTAATTAGAGGTTGTGATGCAAGAATTTGTAAAAATTATCATTTAAATCTAAATTGGCATAAATACAATACAAAGTATATAAATTCTACATACATGAAAACTTGAGTACAGTGCAACAATATGTGAAAAAGGAATGGATTCAAAGGGAACTGAAAATCCCAGGATATGAATATAAGGGATATATTTTTTTTTTTTTTGTTGTTGTTGTTTTTGTTTTGTTTTTGTTTTTTGTTAATTATGAAAATTCTGCTGACGCTCATAATTATTAATTTATTAATTAAATGTGTATTAGAAATTAAATGTATGCCAAAGTACATCAGGTGGAAAACAGAATAAATATTTAAACGTTTCTAGTATTAAAATATGGAATTTGTTAAATAACCTTAAAATAACTTCAATGAGTAAAAATTGAAAGCTTAATACGGGAATATATTGCAATAATATTAGTGTGAATTTATAACGACTTAAGAAGTCCAATTTTTAGATTTAATAAAGAGAATTTTTTTAATTAAATTAGAACTGTTTACCTAAAATGATAAATTTGAAAGTTAAAACCATTCTGCTATCTAAGAAGATTTTTTAATATTTATCTAGACAAGAAACTTATTTGAGGTGAGCTACAAAACCGATATTTGATAGGTTGATTATGTATCAGTTTTGTGTATGTCATTAATTTAGTTTTGTGTATGTTCGATCAGTTTTACTATCAAAACTGATATTATATATATATATATATATATATAACTATATATTATTATATTTTAACAAGCTGTATATACGTAAAAAAGCAAATTTAAAGTTAAATAATTTAAAAAATGTGCAAACATATAAAAGATTTAATTTTCGAACTAATCTACAATATCCTTTAAATTTAGAAAAAATAAGCAAATCAAGTGCAAAACCAAACCATAAAAATAAATTCACCTATAGCAAATTAAAATTAATCTATTTTTTTTTTTTTTTTAATGCATAAGTGAATGATTGTTGAGCAGGCAGGAGACAGACTTATCAAGGGGAAGTTGCCTCCAAACCTAACTCTTCAATCATTCAATTCGTGTTTCGTCATTCATGCAGGCAAGGGTAAAAGTCAAAACCAAAAGTGAATACATAGTAAAGAATGTCCAAAAAGAAATACTAATAAAGTGGTACCTTAAGAAATTAATATATATATATATATATATATATCAGTGACTAAAATCTACAACTTGGAAAGCTTTTAATTCTTACAGAGAATAAAAAAGATCTGGCTCATCCTTCCTTTAAGCATAATAAAACTTTAAAATGAGTGTAAAAGAAATTTATTTTTACTTTAGCACACGTCAGACTTTAAATTAATATTTGTTTTGCATGCACACGTTTTACAATATTGATAAACGAAAATAAAGGCTTGCAGTCTCAATAGAATGTCCCATTAATGGCGATAAATGACTTTTTGTAGCACCCAATCTTCTTGGGAAAGAAATAGGGGACAAGAAACGTCGCGCAGTTCGTGGATTAGACAAGAGGGGGACGGGGATCTTCAATCAAATTTAGCGCAGTTCGCACCCTACCAGAAAATTCTTTAACAAACAATAAAGTTCATAAAATGTACGGAAACAAGAGAGCACTGCGCGAAAGAGAATGGTCAAGTTCAGAACCATATTTTAAGGGGTGTAATCAATAGATCAGTGCATGCCTTTATCTTTTTATCGGACAAAAACCTCCATCACCTACCGTGAAAACGTAAATCGCCCTCTAGTGGGTGGTAGGGACCAGGTAGACTATCCCTCTACTATACATTTAAAAACATCCATGCCTTCTCCAGGATTCGAAACTGGGCCCTTCTGTACGGCAGCCAGAATCACTTACTACTATCCCGGTTGGGCGGCTAAAGTGACATTATTAAACAGAGTTCAGGAATTTGCTAAGTATTGTGCTGAGTAAACTGTTGAACCTCGACTTGGAAACTTGATTTAAGGATGCTATCATCAGGAAGTTTTGTCAAACATTGCAAGCATATTTCTCTCACTGAAAAATACAGAAGGTTCATAATTTATCAGTTGCATAACTGGAATTCAATATTTTTTAACAAAAATGTGCATTCGGTTTCCATTATTTTCCTTGTCTTCAATTAACACCTGAAAAAAATAAAAAATGGTACAGATGGTGTTCTACAAAATAAAACGTTTTATTCCATTTTTATATTTATCCTAAAGTTTCTGATAAGAAAATAAAAAAAGGATTTCTAAAATAGTTTTACCACATGAGGTATTATTTTTATTAAAACTAAGTTCTCCTAGTTAATACAAAATAGCCTCAAATATTTAGCAATACATCATAAATTTTTTACAATACATTATTTGAGGATACTTTATCATGAGGATTAATTAAGATATTTCGTAACTACCAAGGAGTATAATGAAGAAAATGTTTGAGAACCATCGATGTACAATATCAATATTTAAGGAAATGAAAATCGACTTATTTTTTAGCACAGCTGCACGGAATTTAATTATCTAAAATGTTAAAATCATCGACCGATTTAAACCTCCGTACAGATACGGAGAAATACTATGCGACTTGCGCGCCATCCTAAATCTTACAGTAAAGTAACACCAACTAGGGAAAGGAAATGGATTAATTAGCATATACAAATCATACACACTTTACTGTATGTGTAATTACGAATTAATATAACAAGTCATATTTTATTTAAGATGTACTATTTTGTAGCATCTTTTTTTATCATGTATTTACACATTTAAAAAAGGTGTTTTCTCCATGTTTTCCGCATACCTTCTTAGTATATGCGGAAGCACGCTCGGGAGTTCGAAACGTGGTGCGGGCATTTCACACTTTCATGTTTCGATACAGATATAACCTAATGACTTTACAATGGAGCCCGAACTAAAAGGATGAACGATAATTCGTCACCACCAGGATTGGATTTAGCAATTGGATTTCCTAATCCCGCAATTACTACTCCCAGTCGCTCTTTGAAATAGACGGTATGTGAGGTATTGTGGTATAACTGGAAGCATGCTCGACGCGTATTCGGGAGCTCCGGAGTTCGAGTCCCGGCGAGATCATTTCACATTTTTCACGTCTCCTCCTTCAAAAGACCTGATGACTCTACATAACGCTCGAACCAAAGGAAAAAAAAAAAAAAAGAAAAGATCCTGGACGATAATTCGTCACCGCTAGGATTTGGGAATTGGATCTACTAATCCCCAGTCGCCTTTGGAAAAGGAGGAGTATATGAGGTATTTTCTCTCTTCTTTTCCACATCCCTGCTTGGTGCAACTAGAAAATGTTCGACGCATATTCGGGAGGTCTGGGGTTCGAATCCCGGCGAGGGTATTGCACTTGTTCACGTTCCTTTGTCGAATATAAATTAATGGCTCTAAGTACTGACACACCAGACTAGTGGATTAGCCGCTCATTATCTCTTTAACAGAGGTATCAGGTCAAATCTGCTGTAGAAAATTATATTAATTTAAATTAATATTGGCGGCATAAAATTTTGAATACTTTACCTCTGACCAGACAGCTTTGCTGACCTCGCCAACATTTTTTATTGCATTTTAAACTATAAAAAATAATGCAATATAAACAATATTTTTAGAAATAATTTGATATATATAAATAAATTTAAAGCAAGTGACATAGCGTAATGAAAATGACATTATATTATACTACTTCATGATAATATTACATATCAAAACAATAATAACAAAACTTTTATTTAATTCATATAGAAATTAATTGCAATGTTTGTCTGTTGTCATAAATATATTTCATAAAGTCCATTAAAGCTCTACATCATCTCTCCAGATGTGTTTATAAAGGTATAGGTAGTAATGTTTGTCTCTAGGAATGTTGCTCATCGATCTTTCAATCCATCACACTCTACCATAGTATGCTGGACTTCTGCGTTTCTCCATCCCCATAGGTATTTAGCATTTTTAAAATGAAATCGGTTTAAATATTTTAGGAAAGCACCATGCCCGATATTATTTATATACATATATAAGCGGCTAAAGTGTGTGTCGCCGATAGTTTATTGTTGATACTCGGAAAAATGAGCGCGGGAATCAACGTTTCCGCAGTTTTTAATTAATATCTCGCCCGATTAATGTCATACGAAGATGAGAATGGTATCGATGGACTTGGAGAATTTTTCGGAATCCGAGGATACGCGTTTCGAATTTCAACTCAGCGCCGTTCCGTAGATATTCGAGAAAAAAGAATTTCGCACGTAGCCAAATCCCTCTTATAGGAAAAACCCAAGAAAGAAAATGGAAAATGTAGGGAAAACGTAGGGGAAAATTAGTTTTAAATTAATATCTGGGATATTTAAAGCCTTACGAAGACGCAAATGGTCAAAATGGCGTGCCACGGAACTGCGGTATCCAACGGGGTGCTTCGTTAAGCCGGGAGCCAGCCGTTTCGGAGGAGATGATGTTACTTCACCCCATATATATATGCGGCTTAAGTGTCTGTTTGTCGCCGAGAGTTTATTGGTTGCTTGCGTAACTGTACTAGCTAATGGGGTGAAGTTGCCGTTTCAATTGAGACGTAGACAGTTTCCTCTAAAACTTGCCTTTGGACCATCCATAAGTCTCAGGGCCAAACGCTTAAGCGTGCTGGCATTTTTTTTTTTTTCTGAGCCTGCATTTGGACACGGTCAACTTTATGTTGCCTGTTCAAGAGTTCGTGAAAGAACGGACGTAAAATAAAAAATAATGGATGGTCCTCTGCAAGGCGAGCTTAAAAATGGTGGAAAGATTTACATAAGAAACGTTGTGTACAGTGATCTTTGACATGTGAATTAACATTTTATTATTTAAATCACCTTTATTTATTGAGCTAGGGCTGGCTCTTAATAAATGTACCGCCAGTGGTTTCCTTCATTGCACTCTGCTTTAAGCAATTAAGCAAGTAGAAGGGGAAAACCTCGTGGGTCAGTAAGCAAAGGGGCTTCCTCGCCGCCTGCCCTGGGTAATTCAGTTTGAATTAGCAGACACCTTTGCACAAATCATTTTAATTGCAATTTATAATATCTAGAACAGCGGTCATTTTGTATAACCGCCGGGCTTTCTAGTCTGATATAAGCAGAAGTCTAAAACAGAATCTTTTAACACTTACCTTTAGCAAAAAGAGATGTGTTATTTAGCTGATCTCTGATTTTTCCACTTTGTTTGCCATACTTTAAGAAATTCTTTCTTGAAAATAGCGAATTTTGATCTCTATTCTTGTTCCATTTGGTATCGTTTGTCCCTATGTTCGTTACCATGGATTCCAATATATCCTCCAATACAATATAAACTTATCTTCATCTTTCGAAATAGACGTTTGATTTCATTTACAGGTCCAATGGCCACGAAGAACCGCTGCAGTACATTTTAAGACAGTCGTTCATATGAAAAGATTTTTATTCCTTTTTTTTCGTATTCTTTCATTTTTTATCCATAATAATGCTTGTTAAATAGCAGTCAATTCAGCATAAAATACCGGGCACCTATATAGGTAATATTTTACACTTGTTTATAAATTCCATTTCAATATCCCTTTTATGCCCACTTGTATCTCTCTATACTGGTCTATTATTAAATTATGCATTAATGGAAATCCATATCGAATATATATAACTGTTTATTGACTTATTCTGTAGATTTAGATCATATTTGTCTGAGGTTCTCAATATAGAGCCTGTTCTACTATATATTTTGCATTGATGCTTAAATCGGTCGATGATGCGTAGGTCGAGATTATTTGTTTGTCTCTGACCGATCTAGTACCCTAGAATTCCAACTAGATGAAAGTAGTAGCCGATTTTAATCCTCAGATGAAGAAGCCGTCGGTCCTCACCAAGACGCTCGAGAACTATGCAGAATTAAGGAAAGAGTTAAGATATAAGAACTAAAATTCGCTATAAATACTTGCGCTATTCAAATTCATACTTCAAAGAATCGTATTTCTTATTATATTTTATCGCATCCCCCCCCCTCAGGATTCGTACACTATTACCAGTAACATATTAGAGGACTCGTATTTTAACACGTGACAATATTTAATCAATTTATATTTGTAAAGTATTTATAAATTATTTGCAATCAGATATAAAATTCTCTTTTTCAGGAAATGAATTGCGATGTGACTGCAGAATGGCTTGGATTCTAAATTTAACTTACCCGAAAACTCTGAAAGCTGAATGCGCAGAGCCTAAAGCAGTAAGAGGGCACAATATAGAGACTCTCACAGCAAAGACTCTTTGGTGTTAATAAGACAAAGAAATGTGATTATAACACATTTTGCGAGATATTTGTCTTCTTTCTAACCACATATATTTCATATTTTTAGTTTCGATAAAATTGCATGAATAGATGTTGTTGCCAGTCAGTGTAAATATGATGCTTCATTTTTTCTTCGATATATAAAAGCGTGTTCCAGTCACTTGAAAATAATTTCAACTGGACTTCTTATCGACATTTTGCAAAAAATATTTTTATACCATGAGTAAACAGAACAGTTTTCGGTACCCTATTGTAATCAAGAGATGAACTGTAAAATGTTGTGATGTCTATATTTGTATGTAATTTTATGAAATAAAAGTTTCTATGTTTGAACTGCTACTAGTAGACTAAATCTTATGGACAATTTGGCAGCCTGATATATGATGATACACTTGGCGACAAGTACACAGAAAACGAAATTTAATTTAATCTTTTGATACTTTGTTCTTCTTACACCAAAATAATCTGATTGCATAACTTTTAACTCTATTTCATGAATACATTATCACCTGTTTAGAAACATTACATAATGGTGAAGGGGAAATCTCTCTCTCTCTATATATATATACATATATACGATGATTCCAAATTCATGGTACGAACTTGGAGGGGATGTACAGTAGAAAGATACGAATAATATTCACATAAGAAACCTCAGATGGCAATCCATTTATTTAGTCATATATAGAACGAAAAATGCATTTACAATAAGAAAATTTGAAGATAAGATTGAGATCAATCTCGTGCGAATTGCTTCATACGAAGAACAGCACCAATAGAACCTTTTATCACTCATTTAAAAAGATCTTGCTTCAAACTATTGCCGGTAGAGGGCAGTAGGTGCGGATGTCGGAAGGGAAAACGCCATTTTCGATTGTACTGTAGACAGGGGTGGGAAATTATGCGTTTGCGAAAAAGCAGACATGCATTACATGTACGGCTGGCCAGAGCTGCGCTACAAATGTTTCACGCGCAGCTGTTTCCAGTAAGACGAATGCCGGATGACAGAAAGTTTCAGGAGTTAAGGCCCGTTTCCACTGCTGCGTATGCGTTGCGGTGCGTATGCGTTTCTCCATCCGGTTTCTGCAATCCGGTCGGTGTGCGGTGACGGATGACATACGGATGGAGTTCAACAATGTTCAACTTCTATCCGTATGTCTGCGGATGCGTTGGGGTCACGTGGTGAAAAAGGACTAGCGTCTACATCCCAAAACGACAGCCTATGAGAGAGGCGATTCTATTATTTTCATCGGGAAGTAGGGGAGTTAGAATGGTTTTCTGAGGAATGCAACGGCAGTGGACTATATGTTTGCTTACATTTGGAAGTTCAAAAAATTGCTAAGGTGGATTGCCTTAGTTTCTATAGTTACTTACAGGGAAATATTAGGCAGTTTTTTCGGTTTGCTGATAGAGGGCAAATAGACAATTTTACCTTTATAATTCGCGTTTTATCTATTTAAACTTCAGAAGATTTAAGATGAAGCGAATATATTTAAATAACAGAACGCAATCTTAAGACTTGTAAATCTTTTAAAAGACAACAGCAAATTTTTAAACATTACTGTAAAAAATATCTTCTTTTAACTTATAATAAATAATGAGATAATGCATGGATGAATTGTTAATTATATGATAACTTGCATTTATAAAAATTTTTAATAATGAACTAAAATAATATTTTTAATTATCGATGTATTGTTTCTAAAAGATTTACAAGTCTTAAAGCTTGCGTTCTGTTGTGTTAAATATATTCTCTTCATCTTAAATCTTCTGAAGTTAAATAGATAAACGCCGATTTATAAAGGTAAATTATTATTTGCCATCTATTAGCAACCGAAAAACTGCCTAATATTTCCCTGAAAGTAACCGTAGAAACTAAGGCAATCCACCTTTGCAATTTTCTGAACTTCCTAATGTAAGCAAACATCGCGCACTGCCGTTGGCGTTCCTCAGAAAACCATTCTAATTTTCCCTACTCCCCGATGAAAATAATAGAATCGCCTCTCTCATAGGCTGCCGTTTTTGGATGTAGACGCTAGTGTGAAAAAGGAGCAATAATGTGTAGTCACCAAAAATTAATGGCGGCAGAAGAGCGATGAATGCTCGCTTAGGAAAAGAACGTTTTGCTAAAAAATACTTATTTCTGAATTAACATATAGCGAGAAATCTGCGTGCTGAAAAAGATAGCAATCAGCTGAATTTAGTTTAAAAAAGATAAGAAAAACAAGGTAACTGCAACTACAGTACTTGTTCGTTCAAGAAATACAGTTCAAGAAAATCAGCGGCAAAAATTATAATTCCAAGTCCATGAAATAGCAAAATTTGTTCTGATAATCATTTCCTAGTTCTGCATACTCATTTAGCTTTAATGAAAATGAATGTTGGCTATATCAAACTGCTATAGCAAATTAGATGATTAAAAGATTTGCTATTTTTTCTTTTGAAACAGGTAAAAACTAAAAACGTTAATTATAAATTAAATTGATAGCCTTTTAAATACTCTAGTTCATTGAAGAGTATGTTAAATTTGTATTTCCCTTTATAAATATATCTTTTTGGCTAACATATATTTGTAAGCACATGAAATATATTTTTAGCAGCCCGTTTAACTTCAATCGGAACGCCACTTTAAAAGACAATGATTTTTGTAAAAAATGTACTAGAAGCTGAAGAACAAACTCTGGTGAATTTTTTAGACGATAGCACACTGAAATAGGACCACAAAACTTAAGTTTTAAGAATTGATTTACTTGATGATGTATATAAGCCAAAATATGTATGTGACTCACGTGGAATCCTAGGTTAGTGGTAAAGCTGATGGTAGCGATGTTCACATTTTGGAGTCGTGAGTTCGAATACCATACGCTTTTTGCACCCTGTCTGCAACTTTCTTAGCTTTTTATTGCAATTTGATCTATATTCGTGTTTTATAATTTATTTCTATTATTATATGCATTAAATATATTGTTTTATTTATGCTCTTATTTATTTAAATTTTTCCCGAAAAAAGTTTGAAAAATTATATAATACTAATTTAAAGATATACCTGTACATATATATTTGAATTAAGAACATTCTCTATTCGTAAAAAGCAAATTTAAAGTTAATTAAATTTAAATGACATATAATGCAAAATAAAAAATGATTAATTATTACTGCGAACTATCTACAATATCATTTAAATTCTGAGAGATATGTAAAATCAAGTGCAAGTATCGAAATCCTGATAAATATATAATTCCAAAAATTTTTATCCTATATTCATTATGCATTTTTTATAAATTTTTAGGATAAATCTATATTATTCATTTATGCATTTTCATAAATTTTTTAGGATAATAATGCTTTATTCACTTTTTTTTTAATTTATCCTTTATTCATATGCATTTTATAATTTTTTTTAGGATTAATAATCTATCCTTATCACTTATGCATTTTTATAAATTTTTTAGGATAATAAATTTTGGAATTATATCTTTATTCATGGATTTTGCATACTTTGAATTAAATGATATTGTATATTAGTTCGCATAAATAATTAATTTATTTGTTTGCATTAAATTTCATTTAAATTGCTTTTACGAATAGAAAATGTTGTTAAATTCAATTTCATTCCTTGCAGCAATGGCGCAAGAGACTTGTTTAAATTTAAATTTATTTTGAAAACCCTGTAGATTATATATATATATATATATATATATATATTGTTTCACTTTATGTGAATGTATATACATGTGCTCAGACTTTGGGATGCTTACAACTCTAAATTTTCATACCAATTAACATGAGACAGTATTAATTCCCTAAACATTTTTTAACAAAAAATTACTATAATAATTGCTTTTAAATTCAGACCTCTCCAGCAGAAGCGCAGGAATTAATTAATTAAATATTTCATTTTCTTACCTAATGTGTATATATAAAGAGAAAAATCTTTTTATAACTTCTATAAAAAGAGATATGAATTAAAAATGTTTAAATTAAAAATAATATTTTTATGGATTATGCATGAAATAAATGCCTATAGTGCATTTAAACAAGCGAGATTTCTAATAAATTATCAGCTATGACCCTGAAGGCAGCGGTATACAAGCACAGCAATTTTGTGTAAATATGTGGAACCTTTCTTACAGTTGCTCTGTACTTTTAAAGTACCAACTTTTTTTAATTCCTTTAACTTTTTTATTTTATTTATTTATTTGTTTATTTTTTCACTAACAGTACATTTTAGTTTTAATAATATATATATTATTTCATCAATATTAAGGCTTCTAGAAAAGCAAAAAAAAATTTTTAGTTTACTTCAGCTTCTATGAATTAGTGATGTTTCATATATGCATATGACCTACTTATCTAAAAATTGGTAGCGTACTTTACTTTCGCAGTTCATAAGCAGAAAAAAAATTTCGAATAACATGGAATTTAGTAAACAAAACTTTTCTGCGTTTACGTCCAGGTCTCTAATCAAAAAAACAATACTCGCTAAGTGGGAAAAATACAGATGTTCAGCATCGTAACTCGCGAACTGCTTGTTTGGCGCCAAAATATTACAGTGACACCTAGCGGCGAAAAATGAAAATATTCTACGGATACGCAGCAGTAGAAATGCTTGTACGGATGCCGTAGACGTGTCTTCAATTGACGCGACGCATTCGTACGCAGTAGTGGAAACGAGGCTTTACACTGTCAACTTTCTGAAACAGGTTCTTTCAACGTCACCAGAAAGGATGCTAGTCTACAATGAACTGTACGCAATCCAAGATTTAAAGAAAGCATCTTGAACATTGTAGCTGATATACGCGAGTGAAATTCAAGACCTGTACAATACAAAGGTGTGAGTCAACATACCATTTGGAGAATGTTAAACCAAAATCGCTTACACCCCTTCTATTTTCAGAGAATACAAGCTCTGAATTCGCAAAATTGTCATTTTTTGAGCAGTTCTTGTAAACACCTTATTTTAGTTGAAGTGAGACACTCTGTATGCTTGCACATTTTTTGACGACTTTGCTTTGCTTTAAAAAAATCGCTTGCATGGAAATTTTTTTTAACTGAAACTATATCTTTGAAGTGTAAATAACCGTCTGCTATTTGATTATTTTCCTTCATGCAGAATGGCGCTTTCAAAGAAACAGTGGACGGAAGGCTCTCCCTTAAGAAACTTATTCGTATATTAAAGACGTTGTAAAACCGTAGATTTTTTGTATCTAAAGTCACAATAGGTAATATTATCAATAAGAAAGGAAGAAGTCAGAATTTAGCTTCAAACGGAAAAATTGTTCAAAATACATATCCAAGGGAAAAAACGGAATGTTTCGAATGTTGCAAAGGTAAGAACT